GAGGCCAAATAAAACGCCGGGTGTTGACTCACAGTGCTGCTTCAGCAACGGTTCACATAAAAAAGCCACCGGCCCTCCCCAAGCCTTTTAGACCGTCCCCTGGGGTCAGAAAGCGAGCCAAGCTCACGACCCGGGTGCCAGTGGGTTTCCCTGGGCTGGTGGGTCCTTCCCCAGGCGGGGAGCTGATCGAGGGGGTATCGCCCTCGGCTGAAAACCGTTTGAGCCACGGCCGCCTCCTTTCCCTCCCCTGCCAGGCCAACGCGCGACCCATGTTAATGGTGTCGTGGCTGGGGGTCCGGTCCGGTCATCGTGAGCCTTCAGCTCTCAAGCGCGTAAGGGAATCGAAGCACAAAAGACGCAGGTACTGATATATTCAGGCTGCATCAAGTTCTTTCCCCCACCCAGAGGTCTATTCCTCAGCCCTTGTGCAGCTGCCTGCTATGCATGATTAACCTCTGTTCAGCCATACACAGAAATCTTTTGTCCTAACATACACAAAGCAAATTATTTTGGAAAGCTAGAGAGAACAATTAAATATAAAACTTCAGCTGTATTAAATTTACAGGACACTTCTCCTGCTTAAAAAAAGAGATGATAATAAAATCTCTCTTTTTAGCTCAATAGCAGGCTTTAGTTAGGGGGGGGGGAGAAATCCGTCTCTGCCTTTATTTAGGCATATCCAGACATAGTAATGATCTTTTCTTCTTTTTTCCTGGAAACTAGTATTACTTTTTTTTTTTTTTTCTTTTTTTTAGCAATAACACTTCCCACTCCTTCCATCTTTTCCCCTAATATGCTTTTTGGTCAAAAGATTATTCTTCCAAGTACAGTCATATCAAAAGTGAATAAAATACCATGTCTGCCCAATGCTAAAATTGAGGATTTTGCATGAAGGGTAGATCGATGTTTTTTCCCAGCTCCAAGACCCCAGCAGAAGGCAACAGCACAAGCACAGAATCATAGATGCAGCTCATTTCAGTCCCAAGTTGATGAAAGTAATTGCGACTGAATAACTCTGCCCCGCCCCGTGTGATGGTAGCGATGCTGAGGAACTCGTCCCCTTTCCAGGGGTACCGTGTGAAGGCAGATGCCCGAGGCTGTGCCCCATCTCTGGGTATCTTCTAGGCAATTAATAACTCTGGTGGGTTTAGCTTAATTTAACCACATTTTCTGTAGATGTGTTAAATCCTCAGGAGGGTGCTGGCCCAGCTTGAGACCCACCGGTTACTGGGCTTCCCATCCCTCCCATGGCAGTGAGCGCCACTGGGACGAAGGCAGGTGCTGCAGGTCCAGAGCCCATCACCACCAGTCTTTGATCTAACTTAGGTCAAGTCTGAGTCAAGAATTGCTGCTGCCTGACCTGTATGAATAGTCCCGTTTCTGTAGGGGGAAGTGTTCCCCGTTTGAAAGCACCTTCCTTGGCTGTTGGTGTTTTTGAGAGCCAGCTGGTAATGGGCATGGTGTTTGAGGGACCTCTTTCCCGAAAGAGGATTTCTCTGTTGCACTGGTAGCAGGGAAATCTTCTCCTCGCCATATACATTGTACGGCTAAACAGAGGAGTTGGTCTAAATCCAGCATCACTCGCAGTTACTGCCGGTTACTTTTGGAGATCCGAACCGAAAATCTCTCCCGCGTATTGAAATGCAAGCTGCGATGCTCGGAAAGCAGTCCCGAGGTCAGCAGGAGTGGCAGCCAAGGGCAAGACTCACACCAGAGCAATTTTAAGTAATTTTTCCCAAACAGTACAGGGCATACTAATTGTTTTTGTATAAAAGTAGTTCTCCCATCTTGGGAGAGGAGTGAGCAGAGGTGAAAAATGCCAAGTGGGTGAACTAGGAGTAGTTGTGGGGCTGCACGTGATCCTCTCCACCCGTGGAGCATCTCTCCCTCGCCCCTTTCTCCCCCTTTCTCCCGCTCAGTCTCGCTGGCCATCACTAACGGAGCTTGTTGCTTCTACTGAAACAGGGGGTGCGAAAGCCCCCACCGCTCCCAGGCTTAGCGGGAGGAAACGCTGAGTGACTCCTTTCCTCCTCCCTTGCCTCACTTCTTCCCCTGCCATTGTCAAAGCGCTCCGACGTGCCCACCTAGAGGCTATTGCAGGCTGCAGTTTGGTCTGGGGTTAGAGACAGACCTCTCGGGACAAACAGGTTTGTTAAAGAGCACTTCTACACGGCGTGCACCCTGGTATACCGCTCGGCTGTGGGGACGGATGGTTTTTTTTCTAGCAGCGGTTTGCTTGGCCAGGTAGCTTGCGGTTTCCAGGGAAAGGCGCAGTATGGAGGTTGGTTGGTTTGTGATCGATTCTGTTGTGGCATTTTTATTTTACATGCTTGAATGTGCATGTATAGGGAATACATTTCTTGAGAGAAGCAGATCTTTCTTCCCTTGAGAAAGCAACATCTGTTTTCCTGGACAATACAGCCAGGATGAGAACATTAAGACTAGCAGATACAGCCAAGTTCAGGTTTTAGTACTATGCTGAAACACTGACTTAGCCTGGTTTTGGTTGGGTTTTGTTTTGTTTTGTTCTTTTTTATTTAACCAACGCCTGTAAAATATATCTGATAGTTCTTCGCTGAATTGCAGAAGGAAATGGTTAATGTTTGCGTATGTTGCTAAACAAGATAAGATGCACCTGCAGCATGAATTCCCATCTTGGTCATGAATGCAGTCTGTATCTTTGCAAACTAATCTGTTTAATCAAATATTAAGTTTTATTCAAATTCCAAAAGAAACAGACAGCGAATTGTTTTCCTGCATGGTCTTCCTTTGTCATGCATCCTCTTTGCATCTCAAGAAAAATAGCCTTGTTCAGTCCCAAAACATTTGCATAGATCAAAATTGAAGCACAACAGTAGTTTGTGTGCTGTTAAGACATCTGTAAAGGTGAAGAAGTTGAGCGTGCTCTCCCTGGCAGGAGGGCTTTAAAACATTAGTGAAACTTTCTACAATTCTATTTATTTTTAAACAGAATTCCAATCCAACTGGAATGAGTTTCACAGTCCCAATATGTGAAGGCTATAATTAGTGAATTACAACATTTTGAAATGAGGAGTTATTACATCTGACTAGAATTAAACTAATTAAACTTTTTTTTTTTTTTAAAAAAAAGAGCGATTGTACAGCAAGCTGGATAACTCCGTGCTGTTGATGAAACCTGGGCGATGAACAAATACTTCCCAGCCTGCCCGTTCTTTGGAGGCTCTTGAAGATGCTGGGAGATACAGCTATTTGGAGCTTTGCTGATTAAAAGCACCTGAGGTGTAACTTAAGGAGCAGCTTGGCTTTGCTAGCGCAGATTTTTGACCTGATACAGCCTATTCTTACCTCTTTTCCTTCAGCTTAATACGTGTGTGGGCTAGAAAAGCTTGTTAGAGCATTTGTGGGAGCTCAGGCTGAGAGTAACAGGAGTGAAAGATCATCTCCACTGAAAAATATTTTTGCAAAAGAGGTGCGTTACCTGGGAGGATTGAAGTGCAAATGAGGCAAATGCAGTGCAATACCACCCCTGCGCTTCTCCAGTTAAAACGCCCAAGACCATGTACGTGTTTCGTTCCCAGCCTTTCGCTTGCTATTTCTTTGCGTTTTGCCTTTTTGCTGCTGCTGCTGCGTTAGGTGGGGCTACGACGTGCTGTGTAAACGCACGACGCCGAGACTCGCAGGTTGTTTGAACACCGCTTTAGGTTCAGCTGCAGTGTACTGTTCCTCTGATCTTTTGTGTTCCTGAGCAGATGTCTTTCATTAATTTATGGATTTATCATCTTTTCTTTCGCTCCTTTTTTTTTCTTTCCTTTTTTTTTTTTTTTTTTTTTTTTTACACCTGGCAGCTGGCTCAAGTTTCAGCAGTTATTGTCTATTTTGCATTACCCATAGAATTGAATGTCATCTGTCTTCACAAAGCTATAGCTAAGAGAATTGAGGCAAGCCACACGAGCTGCTGGGACAGAGCTTGTTTGCGTTCCATTCGGCACCCCTCCTCCCTTTACCTCCTTAATATTTATTTGTGCTCGTTTTCTTTCCTGGCCTTGAATGGGGCTTAGCTCGTGTTCGGTACAGCTGTATGTTTACTGAATCTATTTCATCATGAGTCATTGTGCGTGTGTAAGTATCCTGGAAACAGCTAGTGCTTTCTTGGAAGAACAGTTGCTTTTCAGCCCAAGCACTTAAAAAGGAAATTAAGCAATTGGTCAGTTCAGGTTTTTTTCTGAAATAGCAATGGGTTATCTAATTCTTAGCTATACGTCTGTCATTAACTATTTTTTGCTAGGTTATTACAGATCGTATCTTTTATCACAGTAAAGCGTTAACCTTAGGATCAAGATATACAGATTTATTGCATATTTGATATCGCTTTAAGGCTGCCAAGTGCTTAAGAACAAGTATAATTTTAATAAAAAATGGATTTCTGGGAATTTGAGTCTCAGAACATCTTTTAATACATGTTTCATTCAATATCAATATCCTCTGGCATTAGAGCAGAAAATATTTAAAAATCCTAAATGCAGAAGGAATCCAAATGCTTAGACAACTGTCTAATATGCTTAAATCCAGCAAATATGAGAGCTTTTTTTGAAAGTTTAAGTCCATCTTTGAGCTTGCATTGAAAGAGAATATATACTCCAAACCCAGTATTAACATGTTGTCAGCGTCAGAGGAATCACAAATCAAGGAGACTTAGGATTTTTATTTTTATTTTCTTTTACTTATTGGCGTTCCCCTTCGGACCCCCACTTTCCTGAAAGGATCACATAACAAAATGGATTTCTGGTGTAGAAGTTTTGATTTGTCTAAAACTCTTATCGCTAAGCAATAGGTGACAGCTTGCTACTATTATTTCACTTACGTATTTTGACAGATGGCACTGCAGAGTGTAATGCTCTTTTAGACTTCTCTATCAGTCTAATGGAGGTAACTGGAGGTTCTTTCAACTCTTCTCTTGGCACAAGAAGTATGTCAGTCATAAATTATCTTCTTTGTAATCATTAAGCATCTAAAACAAAATGCAAGTTCAGCTGAGCCGTTTTCCATGTACTTCCAGATAATAAGAGGTTTTTAAACTAATATTGTCCATGACTTTTTTTTCTTTTTAAATGCTACATTTTTCCAATCTAAAAATGAACCTTGTGACTGAAATAAAGGGAGGGGGTTTCAGTAGATTTCACGAATTAGAGAAAAAGGAATTCTGCTGAAAAAGCCTAGCTAATCAGCGGCAGCAGTAGCCTGCTGATAAAAATTAGTCTGGGTTTCCCGTCTCGAGGCCTGGAGTGAGATGTTCTGTGCTGACGTGTGCCCGGCAGTAAGGTGGAAGAGGCACCTTGGCTGCAGCGCATCTGTCAACTTGGTTGACCTTCCGCCCGCCGTAAGGTGTGAACCGAGTGAAATTTTCAACAATTGTGTTTAGGAGAACCAGTCCTTAGAGAAGCTTCTGGGAAGAACCCTTAATTGACCTTGTGGGGGCCACATTGATTTTCTCCACGTGCATCTTCATTTCTGATAAATTATAAAGCCATTAATTTGCTGAGGAAATGGCAGGGCCAGCCTGCGGCACAGATGTGACCAGAGCCGTCCTAGCACGCAGTACACAAAAGGGAGCCAAGAAGCTGGGAGAAAAATCAGCAAGCCGAGATTGTTATGGTTAGCTTCACATTCCCTTGGGAACTCTTTTAGTTGCTTCTGTTTACAGATCTAAAAGGTAATGATGTTTCCAGGATAAATAGGCTGCCTTATAGGGTAAGTGGCCATTTATTGATCTGCTAGCCCACATTTATCGATTGGTTAGCCCCAAATACAGCTTCATGCTCCGAGGAGTTAACTGTGTAAATCAGGAGGCGAAAGTTTGGG